AACTATAGAGATAGCTCAGGATAACCTGAGCCACTCTAACTAGAAGCTTTATCAAAAAGGAAAGTTTTAAGCCTAGCCTTAAAAGTAGACTAGCCAAATAATGTTGACCGTTTAAAATTTTCTAAAACAGTATTTAAAGGAAAGCGAGTTGATTTAAGGTCCCTCTCAGACCAGACAATGCACTCATCTGTTTTTCTTCTCCATTAGAAAACCAAGAGAGTTCTCGGTTTATATTAACTGTTTATAACCTTCAAACCCAACCTTGATGCTTTCTGAGGTTTCAAACACACCAGTCTGTTTGGGTTAATGTGTTCACTTCTAAAATCGCTCCTTAATTGTCACTTTTCTTTATATTTTTGTCACAGACGTCAGAAATACACTTCATGTACAGACAACCATGGCATTCGCCCTCCTCCGCCAGAGCAGTATCTCACACCTCTCCAGCAGAAGGAGGTCTGTATCCGACACCTTCGAGCCAAGCTCAAAGAAACCATTACCACGCTGCAGGACAGGTGAGCTACTGAGACACAACTAGACAAACCGAACAGCAGTTCATCGTCAGGTCCCTCCATGTTCTGAGTTTTGAGCCTTTCTCTCATTTTTAAACCTTTAGAGACACAGAGATCGATGAGCTGCGAACTCGTCTCTACCGGATGCAGGAGGACTGGGTTGAGGAGGAGTGTCATCGCGTGGAAGCTCAGTTAGCTCTGAAGGAGGCTCGTCAGGAGATCCAGCAGCTGAAAAACGCTGTGGACACAGTTCGTTCCAGGCTTAGTGATGCCGGCGGGCTCAGTGGAGATGTAGGAGTTCAGAAGTACTTCCAGGACATCAACACTCAGAACCACAAATTAGAAAACCTTCTGCTCAGCATGGAGTTAGCCCAAGCAGGACTAGCCAAGGAGGGAGAAGCCCTCCAAGGCTGCCGGACCCGGGCTGGGGGCTCTGCTCCAGCGTCCGTTTCTGGAGAAAGTCCTGGAGTTGTCCCCAAGCTGACGGTGGGAGGGAGAGGGTCTTGCTCTTGCGATGGCTCTCCAGCTCGTTCGTTGACTCGGAGCTCCACCTACACCAAGCTGAGCGACCAGGCTCTGGGGGAGCGCCACTGTAACGACGCAGACTTTCCTTGCCTGTCGGGGGACGGCACGCAGGACAGCGGCTTCGTGTGCTGCGGGGAGACCGGCGTCCCCAGCAGGGCCGACCTCCTGCTGGAAGCTGCCTACCTCTCTGAGGAGACGGCTACGCTGCTCAACTCCTACCAGCAGACCATCTCCCACACTTTACCCCATTCTGCCCCCCCCTCCCTGCCTCACATGTTCTCCCACACCTTGCCTCATTCTTTCCCTCGAAATATGTCCCACTCGGTGCCACACACCATGCCTCACTCCTCCACCTATGAGAAACTCTGCACTGCTGAGCGGCTGGCTCCGTTTCACTGCAATCTGGGCGGCGTGAGCTGCATGAGCCACCCCTGCCTGTCCCACCACCACCTCTACCTGCACCCTTTGAGGGAGGCGGGCATTCAGACCGAGAGCTGCCCGATCCCTGCAGCTACAGGGTATCCCTCTGACCTGGACACTATCGCAGAGCAGCGTACGTTCCGCTCTCAGGCCTGCAGTCCCACCTCCACCTGGATGTCTGACGAGGGGGAGGAGGATCTGGACTCCATCACCACCACCACCTCCGTGACTACAGCTACAGTCATGAGCACGGCCACAGAGCCCATTCCGGTTTCCAAAACACCTGCGGTTCCACCTCTGCCGCGTTCTGCTACTGTGGCCTTTTCCACGGAGAGTCCGTGGCGTCCGGCTGACGGCAAAGCTGCAGAAGAGGAGAAGCAAGAGAAAGAGAAGAGAGAGAAGGAAGAGTCAGCAATAGAAGAACAGTTAGAAAACACCGAGATCAGACAATCAGAGGAGGAACAGCAGACGGATAGAAGCTCAGCTGAAGGCAGCGAGGGAAGAGAAGGGGAGGGAGAACAAAGGAACGTCTGGGATTTAGTAAAGATATCATCCGGAAAACCTGCCGACTTTAACTTGACAGGTGAGACAGAGGAGACGGTACTGGGAGAGGAGGACAAGCAGGAAGAGACTGGGACAGCAGCAAGATCAACAGAGGAGACTCCAGAGGTGTTCCCAAGGTTCATGGGACTGTCTGCAGGTCTGCAACAGCCTCAAACATCTCAGCCTCCCAGGAGGTCCGTCTCCAGGGAGGACAAAGCCGGCGTCACGGTGGTGGAAGTGGACGATGAGGAGGATGAGGAAGATACAACCGATGAACAAGAGGCCAGAGGGGGCGTGGCGGCAGAGGACGGAGAACCCGGGAAAATCCAAAAGAGCTACTGGAGTCGTCACTTCCTGGTGGACCTGCTGGCGGTGGCCATCCCGGTGGTGCCGACGGTGGCCTGGCTGTGCCGAGGTCCGGTCCGTGACGGCCAGCCCATGTATCACATCGGCTCGCTGCTGAGAGGCTGCTGCACCGTGGCGCTGCACTCCCTGCGCAGGGGAGGGGGCCTGAGGCACTACCCCGCGGGCGGGGGAGACCTGGGGGGCTCACAGATATGACTGAACCGTCGCCGGTCTCTCCCTGCTGCGTCACTCCTCCAGTTCGGTCTGCAGAACGCTGCTTTAAGTGCAAGAAGAGGAAGAACTTCCTGTTGCTCTGGTTGGAGAGTAAGGAAGGGGGGGGAGGGGGGGCTGGGGGGGCGCTCTGCAACCTGCTGTCTCTCATTGAAGGGTCCTGCTGTCGCTACCAAAACATTCACTCTTTGGCTCCTTTGAACTGAATGATCTGCTTGAAAAGATTGTTTCATTTATGAATGTGGAGAAAAGCTGGATTGTCGTCTCGGCCATCGATCATAAAGTGACCATAGATACCGTATTTATATCGGTGATCATGTGAGAGCGAGTTCGCAGGAAGTGGTTGAGCAGCGGGAGCGGAAAGATCCACTCTGATCCAAAGCTTTTTCCCTCATGGTTTCCATCGGTAATGGATTGAATCTGTCTGCCAGGCAGAGCGCTCAGGTATCTGCTGAGGGTAGAAACACAACCAGTCCTGTAAGGCAGCGCTGACCTGCTCAAATGCTAATAAACTGCAGCTAACCGCAGCGTATTGCTAAAAGCTCTTCCTAATTAATTAAATATAGTATTTCACTTAGAATATTTATGAACAGCCTGTTTAGTGAAAACATGCTAGCAAAGGTGAAATATGTAGAATGATGAGGTGCTTTTTTTAAAGCTTTAGATCAGGTGGAATATGAAGGAAACGCTCCTTAGTGGCTCCCTCTAGTGGTCAGACACAGAACGAACAGACTCAAAGGTTTGACTTTAACTATTATTCCTTTCCTCCTTCGTTTAACCTTCGCTTTCAGCTGAACTTTTTTCATACATTAGATTTTATTTTTTGATCCTCCTGTATTCCAAATTAAAGACATTTAATTTATGCATAAAACTACTCAAATTATTGGTTTTTGTTTGTCTTTTAAACAGATTATTTTATTACAGATGAGGATGAACTCAGTGACTCGGATCAAATAGACCTTAATATTTAATTAACTCCAATACTAAACATATTGATCAGGTCTTTTATTTAATTTTAATGACATTGATGACAGGAAACGATCCAGAAAATAATTTTTATTACCAAATATAAAAGTATAAAACCTTCAGTGTGTGATTTAATGAACCTAATGATCCTACCTGATCTTCCCTCCCGTTGATCCTTTTCAGAGGATCTTTGGGCTTCATGGGTTAACAAAGTTAAAGGAACAAACATTTTAATGGTCCCTTTAGATTAACAGGGATTACATCACTGCTGCTGTTCATTTTCCATCAGCGACTAATCCAGACAATGTGACTGAAGCTCCATCCGTTTGGTTCAATGAGAGAAAACTTTTTAACCAGTTTATTTGATGATTTAAATGAATTGATTTATGAAACAAACTGCAGTGAAGCTTCTTAACCCTGTGCATGCCGGAGTTCAGCAGGGTGCAGCGCTGAAACAAGCAGACATGTCTGTCCCTGGTGTGTAAATACTGAATAACAGACATTTAGCTGAGCTGTTAACACTCTAAACATGACGACCAGTTCCTAAAGGAAGCAGTTTGAGGAGCTGCTATCATCAGAGCAGAAGTTCAGACATTTCATGCTACTGCTGCTCTCCCTGGAGGACAATGGACCCTTTACTCTATGAACATTCAGCCATTTTTGAAGTGAACAGAATGCTGTTTTTCCACATTTGTTTTCTAACATTTAACACCAACTCATATCTTTTCAATTCAGTTTATTTCTATAGCTCCAATTCACATCATGTCATCTCAGGTCACTTTCCAGTTCAACCAGATCATCCAGTCAGATTGATTCAAAGTTTTCTATCTAAGGAAAACCAGCTGATTGCATCGACTCATTGACTCTTCAGCAATCCCTCACACTAAGCATGCTTGTAGCGACAGTGGAGAGGAAAAACTCCCTTTGAACAGGAAGAAACCTCCAGCAGAACCAGGCTCAGTGTGAGCGGCCATCTGCTGAGGCCCACTGGGGTTCAAGGAGACAGAAGCAGACATAGAAAAAGAAGCTTAGATACAAAAGGCAACTGTCAACCAGCTCCACAGGCGGCCCCGTCCAGGAAACACACAAAGCAAAGCTACTATGAGAAAAAGCAGAGAGAGCAGAACGTTAGAGATTGAACTAATAGATTCTGCAGAGTGGGAGAATAGAGATAGAATGAAGCAGAATGATGAAAAAGGGGTCCCTATGTCCTCCAGCAGTCTAAGCCTATAGCAGCAGAACTATAGAGATAGATCAGGATAACCTGAGCCACTCTAACTAGAAGCTTTATCAAAAAGGAAAGTTTTAAGCCTAGCCTTAAAAGTAGACAGGGTGTCTGCCTCACGGACTAAAACTGGTAGTTGGTTCCACAGGAGAGGAGCCTGAGAACTAAAAGATCTGCCTCCCATTCTACTTTTAGAAATCTAGGAACCACTAGTAAACCTGCAGATTGAGAGCGAAGTGCTCTGTTAGGAACATCAGGAACAATCAGATCTCTGATATCAGATGGAGCTTGGCCATTTAAGGCTTTATATGTGAGAACCACCACTTTCTTTGTAGATGTGTTAGTTGTTCCATGGAGTCCAGCTGCCTGCAGGAGGCCTCTGCTTCAGGCTGATGATGCTGGTTGTGTTTCTACCCTGGCAGTTTTTAATCAAATATAAAAATAATAATTTATTTTTCTCTTTATGCAAAGTGTTCTTCATGTATTGTTGAATCCGTCTTCGGCTCAATCCAACAATTAGTTTTCTGTCATAAAATGTTCACATCTGTGGCCGTGAACATTGATCACTGGTCTGTATACCTGTGCTTAATCGTCTGCTCGCTCAAAATGAGCTTAGTTGGCCAGAACAAGCTCGCTCGGCCATCTTTAAAGGATCTTTAAGTCAATCAAAGGATTCGGGGGAAAACTGGGGGGTTTTTAGACAGAGGAAGAAATGAAAGTCTATTATTTGTGCCTTTTTTGCCAGTTTCAGAAAACTGTTTGGAGTCGGAGCCTGAAGGGGAATAAAATGGAGATTCTTTATTTTCTACACAGTTACGGTTTCTGCACCTTAAAAAGTGGAGCTGAAGCCCACAGAGTTCGTTAATCTTTAATCACGCAGTGAAACCATGTCTGTAGATCCTCACTGGCTCAGCTGTAACGTAGATCTGGATGCAGTGAGTTTTGCTCAGTCTGTGCTGTATATTTCTGCTAAACTTAATGCTCTTGTGCTGTAGCTAGTCTCTAACTGTCGATATGTATCCTGAAGTCCACCTACAGAAGTTAAACCATCACTAAAACAAACTACTGTGCGTCTTACACTGTTTCTCAAATAAACTAGAAACAAATTAAAGCAAAATAATGAACATTTAAAATGTTTTCTCATCAGATATTTAGGTTCCAGTTAAATTTAGATGGGTTTTATCTTTTTCTGTGTCTCATCTTTACATCAGCTGACCTCATAATTCAAACAGTAATAAGCAGCTTGATGACGGAGCGTCAGCGAAGGAAACTCGCTGAAGAGACCAACAGTTTTTAGAGAAATAAAATAATTTAAAAAGCAATATCAATGCAAAGGTATTATACCAACATTTGTTCATGTTTAAACCCCAACTAACTAGTTAACTAATTAACTTAGGTGACAGACCAACAGAGTGGAGCAAGGAATAATCAATGGATCATTATTTATATCTAAATATAATACGTTCGCAGTGATTTAATTAATTTAGCCTCAATCAGTAAGAAAATGATTATAGTGTTTTTCATCACGATCACTGAGTCTGGGAGCGGCCATCTTTTCCCAAATCTAGTAGCCCCTCCCTCCTGCCATCTTCCAGCAGTGACGTCAC